TTTAAGCCATTCCCTTTCTTTCTGGAAGAACATACATGAGTAAGACCCTATTGGGCAGAGTTACTTCTGCATGGTGTAGGACTAGGTGGTTCTCTGATGCAGTGGTCTTACGAAAATGATACCCTTCTTGTGATCCCCATCAGCATAGGTTGAGAACTGAGTCATTTATTTTCAAATGAATTCCAGCTGAATTATGTTATAATAGTTTTTTTTTTAATGTTTGTTTATTTTTTAGAGAGCTCAAGCAGGGCAGGGGCAGAGAGAGAGGGAGACAGAGGATCTCTCTGATACAGCAAGCTCTGTGCTGACAGCAGCGAGCCTGATGCAGGGCTTGAACTCAAGAACTGCTAGATCATGACCTGAGCCAAAGTCAGACACTCTACCACTGAACCATGCAGGTGCCCATAGATCATGTTATAAAGACAAGAAGAAGAAAGGCGAGGGAAATTGGCGGTGGAAAGGGTTGTGTCATCAGGAGGCTAACATGCTACTAACCTGTTTACCCAACTGACACAAATACTATCATATAAATATCTATCATTTATTTATTTTTTATTTTTTTTTAATGTTTATTTTTTTGAGACGGAGCATGAATGGGGAGGGCCAGAGAAAGAGGGAGACACAGAATCTGAATCAGGCTCCAGGCTCTGAGCTATCAGCATGGAGCCCGATGCGGGGCTCGAACTCTCGGACGATGAGATCATGACCTCAGCTGAAGTTGGACACTTAACCAACTGAGCCACCCAGGCACCCCAATCAATAGCTATCATTTACTGAATGGTTACCATGTTCTAAGGCTTTATCCCATTTTGGTTCTCACTCTGTTAGCTATAGGTATTATTAGTGCCATTTTATGAATTAGGAAACTGAGGTTTAGTGAAATTGAATAACTTACCTAATTTCTCATCTGTTAAATGGTACAAGTGGTACCAAACCCAAGTCTGTCTGACTCTAAAACCCATGCTTTGAACCAGAAGTCTACTGCTATAAATTCCCTTTATTGCAGAATTTATTGTTTGCATTTATTTATGTCTTTAGAATTGTCCAAATTGGGCCACACTTAATTTGAGTTTAGTTATAGAGGAATTCTAGTGGAAAAGAGGATGCCATATAAACATTTTTATGTTTGTAAAGCTCTCTTAATTCTTGACAGAGGGCCCTTTTTGAAATTAGTTGTCTAGCATTTTTTACTAACTTCATTTCATTCTCTGAAGAATGAAGGAATTTCCAGCCTTGTATTAAATTGCAGAATCTATAGCATTCTTTCTATAGTTGAACCAAATAAACATTAGCAAGTGTGTTTATTTATTTATTTATTTATTTATTTATTTATTTATTTATTTATTTTCAATATATGAAATTTATTGTGAAATTGGTTTCCAGCAAGTGTGTTTAGAATGTGAGACTGATAGTTCGTTCCTGTCTTTATTTTTTTAATTTATTTTTAAAGAGGTTTTTGGGATGGTAGCCAATTTGAAGCTTGGTCTTTCTGATAAAGAAGTGACAATAGGCAAGTTCCCTGGCTCCTGGAATAAGCCTTACTTCAGTTTCTTTGATGACTTTTGGGCTTGCTTTTGCGAGTGACCCTGGGAACAGTGCATTCTAACTCGAAAACTCAATGGGTGGAGGAAGTGTGTGTTGAGAGCAGTAGTTCTTAACCTTTCTGGAGGTTACATTGCTCCCTTTTGAAGCCTTTCCTCTGGAAAAAATGCATATATGCACACAAATACAGTTTTTCATACAAATGCTATAGTCCATATAATGCTATATAACCCCCAAAGTCTATTGACAACTATACCCCAGGTTAAAGATCCTTTAAAGGAAAAAAATGAGGGAGCTGAAAATAAGATTTGAGCAGAGCTGTTAAACGTTTTTTTCATAGATGTGCATCTCATAAGATTGATTTTACTAACATAAAAATCTTGTTTTAGTATCTAAAATGTTTTATTCGGCCTCTAAAATGTGGGTTTTTCCCACTTTGTTAAAAAAATTAAGTCACTTGGGTGACTCAGTTGGTTAAGTGTCTGACTCTTGATTTTGGCTCAGGTCAAGATCTCCTGCTGTGAGTTTGAGCCCCATATCGGGCTCCATGCTGTCTGTGCGGAACCTGCTTGGGACTGTCACTCTCTCTCCCTCTCTCCCTCCCTCTCTCTCTGCCCCTCCCCCATACATGCACACTCTCCCTCTTTCTCAAAACAAATAAATAAACTTAAAAAACAACAACAATAAAAATTAAGGTTGTTCATAAGTAAGCTAAGACTCACAGGGGTAAATGAAGTTTTCTGTTGATTTCTAACTTTTGCTTTTTCAATTTTATTTTTCTTCTACCAGCAAAACATTTTCTCAGAACTATTAATAAGGCTAAAATTTAATTTTGTTTTTATCTATTTATTTATCATTTTATTAAAAAAAATTATATCCAAATTAGTTAGCATATAGTGCAACAGTGATTTCAGGAGTAGATTCCTTAACGCCCCTTACCCATTTAGCCCATCCGCCCTCCCACAGCCCCTCCAGGAACCCTGTGTTTGTCTCCATATTTAAGAGTCTCTTATGTTTTGTCCCCCTTCCTGTTTTTATATTATTTTTGTTTCCCTTCCTTTATGTTCATCTGTTTTGTTTCTTAAAGTCCTTATATGAGTGAAGTCATATAATTTCTCTGACTAATTTCACTTAGCATAATACCCTCCAGTTCCATCCACGTAGTTGCAAATGGCAAGATTTCATTCTTTTTGATTGTATAAGGCTAAGATTTAGATGAAATCCTTTGGCAATCCCCAACTTTAGTTTCCATTTCTTCTTCAACCAGAATTTCTTTGTAACAGGCATCTACATAGTACTTCTAATGTGAGTGTTCAGGTGGTGTTCCCAGCAGGTTACATGTTTCATTACATCAATCCTCACAATAACCTTGTTTGGGACTTATTATCGTCCCCACTTTACAGATGCAGAAATCAATGCTAAGAAAGATTAGATGACTTAGTTAAGACCAGTGCCAGTACTAAAGGCAGGGTCAGGATTTGAACCCATGTAGATCTAGCTTCAATGCCTATTTTCTCTCTGTTTTACCATCTGGTTCTGTGATCAGAGTTGATCACTTTTTCCTGATTACTAGTTTGACCTGATTCAAATTTTAGAAGCCCCAGTTCCCAATCAGTGGTGAGGGTGCTTTTATTTTCTTCTACAGGTAGCCAGTTGTAAAATTATTGAATTTTTGTGTGTATAAGTTAGACTTTAGGTTGTGAAATGTCTAGCGTGCTGATTTACTGACTAGGTTGTTAACCCAAAAGGAAAGAGCTTTAGCTGGATGACCTCCTGCCTTTTCTGTTTATGTAAATGGATGTTTCAGATACCAGAGTCTGACAGAGACAATTCCAGTGACTGAAACATTTGTGGAAGGCTTGTTACTAAACTTAGCATCATTTTCAGGAAGGAAAAATCCTAATGGTTTGTAACTGAAAAAGAGCTTAACTCTAAAGGGTACATAAGCTTTTATCAAATTGACTAAAGGCCAGGTGTGTGTTTCCTAACTCTCATGGGATAGCCATGGAGGGAACCTTTGGTCAGCTAGCTGCCTAGTGGTTTTCGCTGAGATGGCAGGCAGGGTCAGCATTGTGGGAAGGTACTTCAGTTTGCTGAGTGAGTTTTGTGAGACTCAGCATCTTTTTTGACAAAATTATTGTTCTTCCAAACCTTGTACTTTTCCTAGTTGCAGCCTTTTTATGTACAGTGAAACAGGGAGGAGAATGAGTAGGTTGATTTACTATATAACTTTATTTTATTTATTTATTTATTTATTTAACGTTTATTTATTTTTGAGACAGAGACAGAGCATGAACGGGGGAGGGTCAGAGAGAGAGGAAGACACAGAATCTGAAACAGGCTCCAGGCTCTGAGCTGTCAGCACAGAGCCCGGTGCAGGGCATGAGCCCACAGACCACAAGATCATGACCTGAGCCGCAGTCGGACGCTTAACCGACTGAGCCACCCAGGCGCCCCTATATAACTTTAGATGTACATTTTTTTTTTATCTTGAACTGATTACACAGAGTTTTAAGTGAGATAGCACAGAAAGAAGATAGAATGCTAAGAGAGATTAATTGACATGATTGGGAGGACAAAGAAGTTAGTTAAGATAATGAAAATTTAGTTATCTCCTTGTCTTTTTAAAATTTTTTTATTAAAATTTTTTTTTTTTTTTTACTTTGAGAGAGTGAGTATGTGAAAGCAGGGGAGGGGCAGAAAGACAGGGAGAGAGAACCCCAGGAAAGCTATATGCTGTCAGCACAGAACCTGACATGGGGCTTGATCTCATGAACTGTGAGATCATGACCTGAGCCAAAATCAAGAGTTAGACACTTAACCAACTGAGCCACCTAGGCACCCCATCCCGTTGCCTTTTTAAAAATGAGACTAGTGTGTATGAATATCTATACCATTTAACTCTTAAGGTGATGAAACTCAGTATAAAGGAAAGTTAAGTTGAATGATTTGAAGATATGGGGTGAAATCAGATACACATATATAAATTATCTTAAGTCATCCTTTTTGAGTCTTTACAAATTAAAGGAATACATTTTGTAAAAACTTTCTGATAACAGAAATTTCAGAAAGTTTAAAAAGGATTAAGTACAGTTCAAATGGCAGGATTGTTAAAAGCTACTTTGACTGCATAGTATACATGCTTGGTTAGGGTGAGGAAATTAGCTTTGAAAGCTTTGTGCCCTCTTTCCCGTGTACTTTCTTGAAACGAAGTGTGGGATTCTGGCTTGGAGGGTCAGGTCCTCTCCAACGTTTCCATTTTGTTCTCCCTGCTGTAAGTTTACAAACAGTTCTTCACATTATGATCTATAAAAATATAAACAGCCTTTCTGGAGCCAAATTAATTTTGTTTTTATGGTTCATACTGCATGACACTGGAGTGGGGTAGGAGGGTGGAGATACAAGGTGTTTGGACCCTTCTTGTTTATGGGATTGTCTTTTTCCCTTTTTCCCCTTAGGAACGGCGTGAATGTTGAGGGGGCGACACACAAGCAGGTGGTGGACCTGATCCGAGCAGGCGAGAAGGAATTGATCTTGACAGTGTTGTCTGTGCCTCCACATGAGGCAGATAACCTAGATCCCAGTGAAGACTCGTTGGGGCAATCATTTTATGACTACACAGAAAAGCAAGCTGTGCCCATATCGGTCCCCACATACAAACATGTGGAGCAGAATGGTGAGAAGTTTGTGGTGAGTGTCAGCCCAACTCAGTCCTCAAAACATCTAGCTTTTGTTTCCCCCAGGCTTATCATTTATGATTTATACTAGAGCACTAGATGCAATCACCTCAACCTAGGTCAGTTTGCCTACCAGGAAGATGGGTTCACACATAAATAAAAGACACTGACCGTGATTTTTTTTTGCAGGAGGTGAACTACAGTAATGAAGACGATTTCTCTTTCTGCTTAAGTGTATTCCATTTTATTTCCAGACAGTTTTAAATTTGTATTTGTATTCTGGTTGTAAACACGTGTGAGTTGGTTTTGTTTGTTCTTTTATTAGTTGCTGTATCTCTTTGCTACTAGCAGTCTCTCACTTACTATTGACTCTGCTGAGCTGTAGAGCAAGATTAATTTTAAAAGGTGGTGTCTTCCGAAACATTTTGGTAATACAGAGTTTGTCCACATCAGAACCTGCAAGTGCCCTACCCTTCTCTCCACATCTTGTTCTTTTTCATTTTCTTTGGAGATGTCCGTGTGAATGATTAATGTGGGTTTTTCCCAAGGTCCTAATTATACTCTGAATACAGTTCCCATGAACTGCTCTATTACATTTCCAGTCTGTTCCTGTTGTAGATGTGTGGGAAAGCCCACCTTGAGTTCTGGGTGCCCGCCCCTTTTCTGAGTGCCTTTGCTTGTTCCTCAAAACCCAGTTGCTGTTGATAGCCCAATCTACTTACTTTTTCTCTTGATTGTGGTATGCTTTATTTGCCTTTGATTATTTGGGGAGTGTTGATATAATGAGAAATTGATTATTCTTTGTAGAAAGTGCAGTGGGTTCTGTTAGACATTGACAAATAGACTACACATGTTTCAAGCTGAACGGCTGACTCAAGTTGCTGTCTCTGAAACTGAGATTTGTTCCCTGTATAGGAATGAGCTACAGGACACTTGTGGTAAATTCTTTTTAGTGAGGAGATGAGAAAAGCAAGCAAGTAAGCCAGAAAAATTCAGAAGGATCAAACAATGTTCAACTGCATCTGTAATTTAGCTGGTGATGGTAGTACAGAGCACAGTCTAGGTTGGCCTGGTCTATGGATTCTCAGAGCCATGTACACAGTTTAGAGTTTCGTATTTCAGAGGTGCTATCCATTCGGTCATAAGGCATGTAAAGAGTAGAAATCAAGGTCAGGTCCTAAAATTAGAGCACAATGGATGTTGAGACCTTTTGGGAATTACCTGGGATCTTGAGAACCTTTGTAGTCTTTAGAAAAGGAATGAAACTGATTGTCCCTTTTATTTATTTATTTATTTATTTTTTCAACGTTTATTTATTTTTGGGACAGAGAGAGAGACACAGCATGAACGGGGGAGGGGCAGAGAGAGAGGGAGACACAGAATTGGAAACAGGCTCCAGGCTCCGAGCCATCAGCCCAGAGCCCGACGCGGGGCTCGAACTCACGGACCGCGAGATCGTGACCTGGCTGAAGTCGGACGCTTAACCGACTGCGCCACCCAGGCGCCCCATGATTGTCCCTTTTAGAAAAGGAGTGAAACTGATTGTCCCTTTTAAGAAAATCAACATTATTGAACGCAATTTACCTGCATTAACATGTCCAGTTTCATGAGTTTGGGTAAATGTACATAGTTTTATAATCACCACCGTCACAATCAAGATAGAAGAATACTTTCACCACCCAGAGACTTCTCTTGAGACCTTTTATAGTTAGCCCTTTCCCTGTAGCACTACCCCTGTTGACCACTGATCATCTTTCTGTTACTCTATTTTGCCATTTCTAGGATGTCAAATCAATAGGATCATATAAGTAGCTTTTTTGTGTCTGGCATTGTTCATTTAGTGTAGTGCTTTTAAGATTTATAGTTGTTGTGTATGTCAGTAGTTTGTTTCTTTTAATTGCAATTACTTTTTAATTGGATAACTTCATTGCAGTTTGTTTATCCAGTGACTTGTTGATGCACATTTGGGTTGCTTCCAGTTTGGGGCTATTATGATTAAAGCTGCCATGAAATAACATTAATATACAGGGCTTTAGGTAGATACATGTTTTCATTTCTCTTGAGTAGCTATAAGTGGAATTGCAGGGTCATATGGTAAAAGTTTAACCTTATAGTCAAACTGTTCTCCAAAGAGGCTGTACCATTTTTGCATATTCTCATTTGCAGTGGAGAGTTCCAGTTGCTCTATAATCTCTCTAATGCTTGGTATTATCGGTTTTTAAAATTCTAGGCATTGTAGTGGTATCTTCGTCTTTTTGTTTTTTTAATACTGTATTTATTTTTTTAAATTTTTATTTATTTTTTTAAATTTACATCCAAATTCATTAGCATATAGTGCAACAATGATTTCAGGAGTAGATTCCTTAGTGTCCTTTACCCATTTAGCCCACCCCCCTCCACAACCCTTCCCGTAACCCTCAGATTGTTCTCCCTATTTATGAGTTTCTTCTGTTTTGTCCCCCTCCCTGTTTTTATATTATTTTTGTTTCCCTTCCCTTATGTTCATCTGTTTTGTCTCTTAAAAGTCGTCATATGAGTTAAGTCATATGATTTTTGTCTTTCTCTGACTAATTTCACTTAGCATAATACCCTCCAGTTCCATCCATGTAGTTTCAAATGGCAAGATTTCATTCTTTTTGATTGCCGAGTAATACTCCATTGTATATATATACCACATTCTCTTTATCCATTCATCCATCAGTGGACATTTGGGCTCTTTCCATACTTTGGCTATTGTCCATAGTGCTGCTATAAACATGGGGGTGCATGTGTCCCTTCAAAACAGCACACCTCTATCCCCTGGATAAATGCCTAGTAGTGCAATTGCTGGGTCGTAGGGTAGTTCTATTTTTAATTTTTTGAGGAACCTCCACACTGGTTTCCAGAGTGGCTGCACCAACTTGCATTCCCACTTTTTTTTTTTTAATTGTTTTTTAATGGTTATTTATTTTTGAGAGAGACAGAGTGTGAGTGGGGGAGGGGCAGAGAGAGAGGGAGACACAGAATCTGAAGCAGGCTCCAGGTTCTGAGCTGTCAGCACAGAGCCTGATGTGGGGCTCGAACTCATGAACCATGAGATCATGACCTGAGCTGAAGTCGGACACTTAACCAACTGAGCGACCCAGGCGCCCCTCTCCATCTGGTTTTAATTGCATTTGCCTAAAGACTCATGATGAAAGCTTTATTTTCATGTATTTAGTGGCCATTCTTATATTTTTACTGGTGAAGAGTTCAACTTTTTTCCCCCATTTTAAAACTTGGATTGTCCTATTTTGTTGTTGAGTTCTTTATGTATTTGGAGTCCTTTTTCAGATAGATATTTTGTGAAATATTTCTCCCAGGCTGTGGCTGGCCTTTTTATTTTATTTTTAATAGTGTCTTTTAAAGAACAGAGGTTTTAAATTTTTTTGAAGTCCAGTTTATCTTTTTCATTTACGGGTCGTGTTGTAAGAAACCTGCCTAACCCAAGGATACAAATCTTTTATGTTTTCTTGAAAAAATTTTATAGTTTTAGCTCTCTGTTTTTGTAATAACTTTATTGAGGTATGATTCACATACCAGCAGTTGTATACCTTAGGTGTATGTAATTCATTGGTTCTTAGTATGATCAACAGAGTAGTGCAGCCATCACCACAATTTTAGAACGTTTTCCTCACCTCAGAAAGAAACACTGTACCTTTTAGCCACCTCCTCCAAACCTCCCATCTGCTCTCTACTAATCTATTTTCTGTCTCTGTGGATTTGCCTCTTCTGGACATTCCATGTAAATGAAATCATATGTGTTCTCAGGGTTTATCCATGTTGTAGCGTGTATCAACCAAGTAATATTCCATTGTCTGGATATACCACATTTAATTTATCTGTTCTTCAACTGATGGACATTTGGGTTATTTCTACTTTTGACTGTTATGAATAATGCTGTTTTGAGCATGTATGTACAATTTTTGATGTGGATATGTGTTTTCATTTCTCCTGGATATTACGTAGAAATGGAATTACTGGGTCATATGGTAACTCTTATGTTTAACCTTTTGAGGAAATGCCAGACTTTTCTCCAAAATGGCTGCATCATAGTTTTCGCTCTTATGTTTAGGTCTGGGACCCGTTCTGAGTTGATTCTTGTATCAATACTAAATGATATAAGGGTCAAGATTTTTTTTTCCCCCATTTGATATCCAGCAGCCTGTGTTGAAAAGGAATATCTTTTCCCCACTGAAATAACCTTGGCTTTATTGTTGAAAATCAATTGAACATGTGGTTCTATTTCTGTATTCTGTTGGTTACGTCTGAACATTTCAATATTTTTGTTATTTTGAGATTGTCTTCTGTTTAGTGTCTTTTCCCTTGAAAATGGGTCATATCCTCCTCCTTTGTACGGTGAGTAATTTTGGATTGTATCCTGGATATTGTGAATGTTGCATTGTGTAGGCCCTGAGTTCTGTGATATTCGCTGAGGAATGTTGATGTTTTGTTTTACCTGGCAATTAACAAGCTATGCCGCTTGTGTGTTGTACTTCATGTTTCAGTTCAATTCTTTCAGGCTTTTCTGTACTACTTTGAATCTGTTCTGCATGTGTATCATTCAGGGAGGGATTAGTATGAGATACTTGGTGTTCATTCACAAACTTAAGGCATCCTTTTCTGTGTTTCTTTCTTCTGGAATTCTCTACTCTTTCTGATGGCGGCCATGGTTGCCTAGAATCCTTTCTTTCCTCCAGGCAGGAAGACGTCAGGGTTTCTATTGGAGTTTTTAGTTGCCTAAGTTAGGCTACTTTGTAACTTATGCCCACTGTCTGGGCAAAGCCCCCTAAAAGCAGGACACCTCCCCCCACCCCTCTCAGTGGTGTGCTCCATATTTTAATGTCCCTCTGCAATCTGCTTGCAGTTAGTGTAGTATTCAGAATTCTCGGGTAATTGATTTTTGCATTTGGTCCAGAGTTTGTAGTTGTTATCACTGGAAAGGTTGGTCTATAGGAGACTCTTAGGTTCTATCAGTTTTTTTCATATATAATG